GGCCTGTGGGGTTTATCTGCGCCTTCAGGGGACCAACAGTGCTCCCCTGGTTCTATTCCTGTCACGTTCGTGACAATAGGGTTATTTATAAAGTAAAAGCAACTATTAAATATTAACTTAAAAAGCAATTTTAATAATAAAAGCACTATAGTAACTTTTATTTAAATTTAGTACATCCGCTTATTCTAAAAACCCCTAAACAGATTTAAAAAAATTAAATGCTTAAATTACCTAAATACTTAGTTTAGGTATATAGGCGATTATTTTAATTATTAAGGCTTCAAGTTTAAATCACATAGATATTAGTTTTTAAAGGGGTTTTTAATACTTATAGGTATTTATAATTACTTAATAAAAAACTACTAGTATATAAATAGTAGTGTTAGCGTTTATAGCTGCCTAATTAGTCTGTTAGGGCCTATAGCTATAAGTAGGCTTTAGAGGGATATAGCTTTTAGCTGCTTCCTAAAACCTAGTAAGCAACCTATACCTAAATAAACACTAATATCCCAAACCACGTATTATATTCGAATACGTAACCCAGCCAATAGTACTTTTTATATAAATTATAAATATAATATTACTTGATTCTTTTAATATTAAATTATAAAAATGCTATGTTTATTTATAGTTTTATTTTAAATATATTAAACTCTATTAATTACTATAAAAATTATTTTTAAAAGCTAAGTAAATATTTAACATTGATTTGCTTTAATATCAGTGTTTACACATGTTAACTTGTGAAGCTGGATTCCAAATACTAAAGAAAGCCGTTTGGTTGTAGATGAACTTTCAATGCTAATTCTCATTAATGAGCTTGAGTGCCAGTGATTTAGTCGACGCGGTACATGAAGCCAGGGAAGCATAAATGTCATGTTATGCAACGGGGAACAAAGATCTCAGGTTCTATTTAAGTTGTTTGTTTCCCTTAATATTCATAATTAACTTAGGAGAAGCTCAAGTCTAGAGGTTGCAGCTGTACAGATCTTCCACCTCATTGAATGCACTGATAGCGAGCTCCGCCATATTATATCGCGAGCCCACTCCGCCAGCCTCTGTGTGGAGCCACTCATCAATTCTCTCATAGCATCTCAATAGATTTTCTCAGTCTTTGAGCATGAATCATCCAGACTGATCTAATCTGGTTGTGCATACTGGACGGTCTTCGAATCGAGGGCTTACAGGCTCTGAACAAGACTCAGTAGGACAGCAGGCTTGTACGAGAGACGACTGGCACATCTTATGCTTATAATGTCGATTGCCCCATGCAGTAATCTCCTTGCTCCAATTGTTGTTCCACTTCTCAGCAAAGACGAGAGCCATGATATGCAGAGTCCCATACAGTAAGCTGCATCGGGAACGGTTCGCCCAACCTGAAGGCATTCAGCTTGGTGTTATCTACGGTTCTGCGTGCTGTGATGGTGAAGCGCTGTGATATACGAGCTAGAGTCGGGAATATTTCCTTCTGCACCAACATGTATCCGATGCAGAACCTCTTCCCAGCGCTGAACGCAAACTGCCTTGGCTTCTGAGCGACTGAGGGCCGAGCTTGCTTGTCATCGAGAAAGCGTTCTAGGGTGAAGTCTCCGGGCTGCTCAAAACCAGAGGTGCAGACAGCAATATCTTTGACCAGGAACTCTGTTCCTCTCGGAAATTTGTACCCCTCGGACTCCACGTCCTCAACCAGCACGCGTTGCGGGACTAGTGGGATCGTCGGTCGCCATCTCAGCACCTCTTTGACCATAGCGCGCACGTACGGCATTTTCGGAAGGTCGGACAGTGATGGCAGACGCTCTACTCCACATGGATGGTCAATTTCACTGCATTCCTTGGACGCCACGTCCGGCCATCAACAACGCATTGAGCGTCATCCTCGGGTTGTCAGACCCAGCAGCCATAGAGATCATAGCTCCATACATGGCTTGTCCCTCGGAATGAGCGGATTTCTCAGGATTGCGTCGCGTTGCGTCGCGGTAAAAGAAAGGGGAAGCGCTTGGACGAGCCAAATCTTCCCATCCATTCCACCATTGCTTAAAGACATCGTAGTGGTATTTCCCCATGGACTCCCAATGGGGCCGCCAAGCTTGGAGCCACCGGTGAAGTAGCTCAAGGTTGGGGGTAGGACTTGACGAGACTGCTGTTTATCGACGTCAGCAGTGTTGACGTGACGCTTGTAGGTCAGCAAGCTCAATGCTTGAGTTCTGTAGATGCGAGCCGGTCACAATCTTGCATGATGGCAACTAGGTAGCAACATGTGTGTTCATACAACTCTACATCAGCATTTTTTTGTCGCAGGTAATACCATTGTCGTTCTAAACAGAAGAGGGGTAATCAAGTAAAAACAATGGAAAAGAAAAAAGAAAACGAAAAACGTGGCCTGTGCCAAGACGTAGCAAAAGGTCAGGTGCGACTTATCCAAGCCCACGGCTGCTCAACCAAAGGCCCGAGAAGACCGGTACTTGCATCCTCTAGGATCTTGTCGTGGGTTTTGGATCCCGAGCCAATCATCAACTGGCGAAGTAGTTGGCGACCCTGCTTCCATTGCTCCGTCTTCTGTAGAAACAATCGCTTGTTCTGACGACTCACCAGCCTGCCAGCTATCGGGAAATAGGAGCGCTCATGTGTTAGAGTAGCACGCTTAGCGATGATTTTGTTGAAAGTACGGCGTCTGTTCAGCAATAGCCATGTCTTCATGCCCATCGAAATGGTCACCATCTCACCGGAGCGAGCTTGTGATGTTAACTGCCCGGGGAGTTTTCGCTTCGGGTCAGCAGGAAAAGGACTTGGGTGAGTGAGACCTGGGACAGCAGATCTAACCACTTACCCAAGAGGCACCTTACCTCCATTCCGAGCTTCTGACCACCCTCAAATGTTTCCAAAGAGCGGAAGACCTTTGTTTCCTGGAGGTATTGGACACCTTCCACCAGTGAATGGCAGCCTCCTATGTGGGGGTTGCAGGAAATAGTATGCAGCAAGCAATACCGTAAGCAGGAGGCTGACGAAGCTATACTTGATAGCATCGGGTTGCATATAGAATATGGCCATTCAGGATGACAGAGATAACCGATAAGCACTTTTGATTTTAGCTGCTGAGTATTATTTCGAAGGTCCGTTTGCAAGGGGGAAGTGCCAATCAGTGGCGCGAATGGTGTTGCAGACCTCGAGAGCAAGGTCTCACCACCATGTGAGCCAACAAAAGTACCTTTGAAGGTCAGGCAAACCCGATGGATCTCACTGTATCGCCTGCGGCCGTTTTCCGTATGGTACCCTGCAAAAGGTACCGCAGGATCCCACGAAGATAAGCGGACTTCGTCTGCATCAATGAAGCTCAGCATAGATATGGAACTCCTGGCGCCTAGCCGCCGGGTGACGCTATTTCCCAAGGGGTCAGGCAGTAACGAGCCAACAGGTATACTCAACACTGCCGCCAATACAAGGGCTTCACTGCGTCATGTTTGATCCGGCTCCACAGAAACATATATAGGCCATGACCCTAGAGTATGGTGTTCATGTCTGCCGAAAATGTACACTTCATATATTTTCCAAACTGAGAACGCAAAAAAACCCTCGCTTTGCCTGTGTGGTATCATTGCGCCTCAGGTGTATAGCTATGGCGAGGAAATCTGTGCCGTCTCGTTCGCCCAATAACTCCTCGGTCCCTGAGGATAAAACCACCATTAATCATTTCCCACATCTTCACCCATACGCCGATCCTACAACCGGTCTCTTGTCCAGGGTGCCGTCCTCATGGATTCCATACTGCCAACTCATGCGTTTGGATCGCCCAGGCGGACTTTATGCGTTCTACTTCCCTTACCTTATCGGACTAGCTTTCGCTGCATGCATAGCTCCAACACCGCCATCTGTGGCAAAGCTGCTGGCTGTGATGCTGGAATTCTTGCCTCTTAGTGTACTTCTTCGCGGCGCTGCATGTACCTGGAATGATACCGTCGATCAAGATTTCGACCGGCGTGTGGAGCGCTGCCGGCATCGACCTGTTGCCCGCGGAGCGATTTCAACTACCAAGGCCTCATTATTCACACTTGCTCAAATCCTCGGGCTTTATGCTATTGTGTCTACGCTTCCAAGCGCATGCATGGCGCATGTAGCCTTCGCCACAATTCTTTTCTTCATCTATGCCTTGATGAAGAGGGTGACCTACTATCCTCAGGTAGTGCTTGGCTTTCCGTTTGCCTGGTCAATTTTTGTCAGTATCGGCGCTCTGGGTATGACACCTCTCGATGAGCATTACATTAAGGCGACCATTGCGTTGTGCGCGGCCAATGTCTTCTGGACAATCACCTATGACACGATCTACGCTCACCAAGACATCGAGGATGACGAGAAGGCTGGGGTGAAAGGGATGGCATTACGTTTTCGGCATACGACGAAGACTTTGGCAAGCGTCTTGTCCATCGCACAAGTCGCATGCTTGGCTCTTTGTGGGGTTTTCGCAGATTTCGGTATACACTATTTCGTCGGAACCGTCGGAGGCGTTGCCTTTAGTATGACCTACTTCATTTATGATGTTGACCTTCAAAATCCTGAAAGTTGTGGGTCGTGGTTTCGTGATCAGTTTATTGTTGGGGCAGGGTTCTTGTCTGGACTGATTTCTGAGTACACCATGAAGCTGATTCTTTAGATCCTATGAAGTTTGTGGCGCATGGTTATAGCTTAAGAACAATGACATCCTTTGCGTCATGTCCCCATTCGTATCTCCCTGCGTGGTGTATAATTTCGCCGTGTTTCAGGCTACTAGTGCAGGCCCATGTATATTTCTATAAAGTAGCTTAAATGCAAGGAAAATAATACTAATATTATTAATACTATATAATTTTATTTTTTATTTTTTATAAATTTATATTAAGCTTTAAAAATAAAATAAATAGCTTAATAATATTTTATTTTTTAATATTCTTTTAATAATAATAATTTTTAAAAATAAAATAAATAATAAGTTAATAAATAAACTTTTTTTATAAATTTAAAAAAACTTATAAAATAATAAAAATATAAAATAATATTAATAAAATTATAAAATTTATATTATTTATTTATATTTATTATTTATTTATTTATTTATTTATTTATTAATATTAGTAATAATTAGTATTTAATTTAAATTTTATAATAAAAACTTTATATTTTTTAAAAAATATTTTAATAAATTATATTTAAATTTAAATTAAAATAAAAATAAAATATTTAAAATATTTATATTTAATTATTAAATTAATTAATTATTTTAATTATAATAGTTTTTAATTTAATTTAAAAAAGCTTAAATATTAACTTTATATTTTTATATATATATATATATATATATATTAATAAATAAAAATATAATATTATTTTATATTTATTATTTAATTATATAATAATTAATTATATTTTACTTTTAAAATTAATTATTATTATTATTATTATTACTATTATTATTACTATTATTATTATTATTATTATTATTATTATTATTATTATTATTATTATTA